AATTATGGCAACTGACATTCCTTAGTCTTGATATTTAGCGGTGCAGCGGATGTTCCATTATCCAATGTTTAAAGCCAGGGCACAAAGGGCGGAGAAAACGGAACAAGCTCTTCATGTAGCCAGACCGGGGTTATATACCTGTACAATCTTTGCAATAAGCTCGGTGCGACAAAGTGGAGAAACTAAAAGTCTACAGAGACATTAAGTGACTGCTTTCGTTGCCTTTTGTGCATGTGGGAATCCTTGCTTCTTGGCATCAGAGATATCGATCAGTCTTGAACAAAACCCAACACTTTCTTTTTTTTAACTGCACACACTGGTTCAAACAAAAGGGCCATGGGCTCAGGTTCTCGCTTTGGCTCCAGTTTTCGTTCTGTCAATCTCGACTTACCACGCTGTTGAACTTCTCTTGTGCATCCGATCGCTGCGGTACAAAGTTCAACTCGCACCCCCCCCCCCCCCCCCCCCCCTTCCGCGCTCGATCATCTCCACAGGCAAGCCGATGCCGTTGTCAAAAAGTTCCAATATTGCGTTGCTCGTGAATTGGACTATTTAAAGCACAACAACATATTGTTTTACAACTGCATCCTAAATATATTAGCGTTAATTAATAAAAGTGACTATTTATCGCCAATTGGTGTTTGTGTTCTGTAAAAAATTGTCTTCGCTTCAAGTAAACTCAGTCCGTTTTCCTCACTTTTTTTTCTGCAAACTGCTTTTCCTTCTTAAAGAGGGGCATGTGATATCACATATTTTTGATATACACGCTGACAATAAAGAACAGGCGATTACATGGTTATTTGATCGCACGCGACAAGACACATCATAGATTGGCGCCCCTGTCGGATGCTTCCTGGGTGTAACAAAGATAGGCCTATAGCGCAAAGGGCCGGGCGTGCTGTACGTGCCTTACAAGTTGTGTATAGCACAAACAGATATATGACCCCGGTCTGGCTACATGAAGAGCTCGTTCCTTTTTCTGCGCCCTTTGTGCCCTGGCTTTAAACGTCGGATAATGGAACATCCGCTGCACCGCTAAATATCAGACTAAGGAATGTCAGTTGCCATCATTAAAAATTAATAAAATACAATGTAGCCAAGCACGAGAGTTCTAAATCGAAATGAAGTTACCCACTGCATTTGAACACACAAATAAGCAGGTTATTCTTTGCAGCGAAGCCGACCTGCGGAAACTGCGTTTGGCCAGTCAGAGAACGTGGGAGCGATTCGATCACTTCTTGAGAAGATACAACAAGAAAAGGGGGAAATCGCATCAAGCCAGTTGAAAGTTCATATGATCGGCAGCAATAATAAAAAAAATTGAACGAAATAATAAATGGCCTTTTTGGATAAAGTGGGTTCAAAATATCAATTAATTTCATTTTCGACGATATTTCAAATTTTATATAAAAAATTCAGTGAAAATGAAATGAACTAAACTTATGCCCATCGATATCCCGTAGTATTTGGTGAGCGACAAATATAATAATTCATGATTTACTAGGCTCTGAAGTTGTTACCGCATTGTCACGTGGGAGCGATTTCGATCACTTCTAGAGAAGATACAACAAAAAAAAAAGGGGGAAATCGCATCAAGCCAATTGAAAGTTCATATGATTGGCAGCAATAATAAAAAAATTGAACGAAATAAAAAATGGCCTTTTTTGATAAAGCGAGTTCAAAATATCGGTTAATTTCATTTTCAACGATATTTCAAATTTTATATAAAAAATTCAGTGACAATAAAATAAACAAAATTTATACCCGTCGATAGCTCATGTATAGGGCTACACCCGCATAGTATTTAATAAGTGACAATTATAATAACTCGTGAGTTACAAGGCTCTGAAGATGTCACCGGATTGTCAGAGACAATGTTTGGCATTTTTTACCCCAATAAACGAAACTGCAAAAGTATTTTCGTTTAATTGAAAATTATTCCAAATAACATACAAGAGCACAAAAATTTCTGTGAGTTTTGTATGCGTCCCGTATTCATACCAGCATACAGAACTGGGTAGAAAAATCACGGAGTAAAAAACAGATTTTCACCCTGCTCCACTCAATCATTTTTTGTGCAGCAAAATATTTTTTTAAAAAATTTTGAAAAGCGGTTTTGTTCTTTCCAGAAGTGGGGCAATTACATATATTTTGGACCGAGGCGGACCGAGGCGACGAGGAGAGAAGAGGCCGCCTCTCCTCATAATAATAATACTATCTTTATTTCCATCAATCTTGATGGGGGAGCCCGAGGAAAAAAGCTGCGATATGCAGCTTGACTGGTCCTCGGTCCCTTTACAGTGGTCAACGGCAAGCATCGAGAAACAAAGATGAAAATCACATTCAATAGCAGCTGAAGGTATTGTTAACAGAAAAAGAAAACAAAACAACACGATCCCCCTGGAACGGTCATTCTCCATCGTTCCAGGGGGATCGTGACGTCATAGTCCTCGCTCCATCGCTCCCTTCTTTTCCAGAAATACGGCCACCCTTAGAGACATCGGTGTATGAGTGATGTCTTGGAGTTCACAGCGTTCCGTTCAACGCTTCTGCGGCCTTATTTTGCCAAATTCAAATTTCTGCTCGGTACATTTTAGTCACCAGCTTTTTACGGATAGAAACCTGCCATACTGGAACAAAAGCAGGTTTTCCTTAGTTAGTAAAAAAAAAAAAAAGTTGTATTTAATTATTTTTTCGCGCTCTCGCAGTAGGACCTTATAAAACTGAAAAACGGAGTGGAACGTGGAAAAAGCCCCGCACTCTGATTTCCTCGGAGGAGTTGTCCGTGTTCAATCTGATTTAACAATTGTCTGTGTCTGATAGGTGGTATTCACTGAGCCTGCAGGTTCCATTTTGCCAGGGAGCGCCACCGTCGATCCGCCATCTTCGAGGTCGCGGTTTGACTGGCTAGGCTACGCGGTCGTACGTTGGTAGTGTGTGCTAATTTCATATAGTTGAAGAAGCTTCGTTGAGAAAAAGGTTTATCTCGGGGCGGGCCGCTTTAGTTTCCTTGTCGCCGCCGAGTACCGTGTGTAAAAGCTGAACCGCACGTAAGCAATTTAGAGAGCGACGGGACGAGACGAGCGACGGCGACAGCAACAAGACAAACAACGACGACCCGCTTCGCTGTCGTTCGGTCACTCGCGCGACGAGGCAAACTGCAGGAAAACGACGGGAGCAAGCGACCAAGGCGATTACGACGTTTTCTACAAATCAAAAAAACATGCACGCGACGACCGACCGTGAGCAGTCGCCGACTCCAGTCGCTTTCGCTCGCTAAATCGCTTACATGCGGTTCACCCTTCCCTGTCGCTCGTCGCGTAGCTCGGTTTCGGGATTTCTAGAAAACATAGCGCGCATCGCCTTGATCGTTTGCTCCCGTCGCTTTCATGCGGTTTGCCTCGTTGCGCGAGTGACCGAGCGGCAGCGAAGGGGTCGCCGTCGCTTGTTTCGCCGCTCGCCAAATCGCTTACATGCGGTTTTTAAATCGCTTGGGCTAATGAAAAATGCGCGGCATTTTTCATAAGTTGCGCACTCTGTGAGCTGCACGGTATGTTTCTGTACAGGAACGAGCACCGAAGGCACGACGTATGTACGACACAGAGGCGATGGAGCAACACGGTTACACGGCCGTAATGCAGAAAATCCGCTAAAGAAAAACAATAAAGAAACTAGCAAAAGAAAACAAAGAGTAATCACACCGTGCTACAAAAGCACCAAAGGAGAAAAATCAGTTCTTGCAAGAGCTACCGCCGTGGGCACGGCGCGCGACACGGAGCGCTTCATGGAGCCGAGGGAGCAACGCGGCCGCGGTGAACGAGTCCGATAGCGACAAAAACTAAGACACACAAAAAATACTCTTACGGCGCTTCAAAAGCACCAAAGTATAAGAATAACCCCTAGTTTCGCTCAAAAAGACCCTTTAAAGTTGTAAAATGCCGCTAAACCACGCTCAAAAGGTCCGGCCAGACGGCACCCGCGATAGAAAGAGACATCGAAGATGGCGACCGGGGTGGGCGATGCCAGCGAACCTAGCGAGTGACGTCAAGTGAATGTTGCCTATTAGGATTTAAGTTTAATACAAAACGAGTGACATAGCATCAAATTATAGATGCACAGTAAATAAAAAGTATTTTGGGAATTCGTTTTGCGGGAAAGGTTCCATTTAAAACATGACATTAATTCGGGTCTGATTGAAATCTCAATTTAAAGCATGTTTAAACTCATACTTTAAATCATTTTGGGCACCATCTAAATCATCGGCGCACGTGCGCAGCAACGGCACACGAACCTTCAGGCACGATCAGGCCGACTCAGAGAGTATGCCACTGCAATCTCGTGTGCATACCCCTCGTTTTTAGTTCAGCTTCTGACGTCGGGTCAAGGCCACTGGTATCTTTCGGCCACTGTCATTTTTAGCGCGCCATGTCCACGACTGTAGGTATTTACGGCGCAGTGAAACCAGCTTACGACAGTCACAAAGATAGAGACGCTTCCCTCGAGCAAAAGCAGCTAAATCACAAGGCCGGCGCCTTTCCACGCTGTGAATATGCGGAGCGCAAGTTCGTCTGCTACTTTTGCGGGAATTTTGGTGACGTCACAAAGACGCCAAGCTCTGATTGGTTCTGATTGAAGGATAGCGGGTAGACGTCAAAGCAAGCTTCCTGGAGGTCTACCCACAATCCTTCAATCAGGGCCAACCAGGGCTCGGCGTTCGGACTTCACCACAACCCCTGGAAAAGAAGCAGAGGAACTTGCACTCCGCATAGTTTATCCACGCAGCCCTGTCTCTCGTGCGTCGGCGTCGCCGTCAGCGCGTCTAGCAGCGTCTCACGGCAAGTGCAACGCTAGCAGGCGACGACGCAAAGATGCTAAGAGCGAATGCTGGAGACACCTGCTCTCCAGCATTCGCCTAGCTAAAGTGAAAAGGGGTGGGACGAGCTTTCCCCAAACTTGCTTCAACTCCCGGGTCAAGAAAGAGGCCAAAGAACAAGGCTTACCTTGGCAGCGATGCGGTCCAGGTTGTCGAAGAAGTACCGCACGCCGTCCCCCTGGAAGCCAAACAAAGACACATCAACATCGGCCGGTGTCACCGGGGTTCAAGGAACTGCCCAAGGGACTCCCGCTTGAGGCTGCTTCATTCACTCGCCACTGTTTACGGCCGAGCGCACTACAACCTGTCGTGACATCTTGCGACGAGAGAACACACTGGCCAGCTGGCGCCATCTTTGAGGTGGCCCTGGAACTGCGTTTCGCCAGAGCGAGGTCACAAGTACAGTGATATCGATGAGAAATGGTCTTTCTTCACATTGACGAAAAGTTTTGCAAGCGAATAATGAAAGAATAATGCGCACAACAAGAAAAAAGATACATATACGGAAATGTTGGGTGTTCCACGGCTACCCGATAGGTGGCGCCAGTGCGTTCTCTCGTCGTGAGAGTGCAACCGACAGCTGCTGTTTCTCCCCAAGATGTTCACCTCAAAGCAACTAACCCAACAAATCACATTGTTGCAACCGAAATATTTTTTTTTCGTCTGGGAGCAAGACTGAAAAATAATATTTGCAGTTTATGGTTGAATAGAAAAAAAATGGGCATGTGGAACGTACGTCGCGAAAACCAGTGTGACGCATAATATATTATTTAAATTGGCGCGTTCTCAGGTACTAAAAAAACTCGTGCGAATTACAAAAAAAACAAAAAAAAAAAACAACTTAAGTATCTTTGAAAGCTTTCACACATTTCAGCACATGAAAAGTTTGCTCTGTTCGCATCAAGCAGTTATGCGGTCACTTGCAGGTACAAATATTGCTACGTGAATTATCACCTGCTGGGAAAATAAAGCTGGATGCTTTGTCAGAATACCCGACAAACATTGACCAACTAAATCGTAGTTAAAAGCCACGATTACAGGGGAGAAGATAATGACATCTGGAACTTCATACATTGATGGCACAACGAACCGTGTCAGCGTGAATGAGGCCGGATGTCTCTGAATTCAAGCTATTTTATCGGCTCAAAGATAAGCCCCAAATCAGTTTACTGTTTCTGCTCTCCCACAATTTGGAGCAGTTTTTAGCTTTGCCCTTTGAATATTTAACATTTTGATAAAAATACGTTTCATTGTTTATTCGATTCTTTCAGTAAAACCTAAATAGGAACCGGTATGAACCACCATTTTTTTTCACTCCGGAGCTGAACCGAACTTGAACCATTTTCTCTGAACCGGAACGAAAACTGAAATCAAGAGTCAAAACGCAGGCGAGCTGGCGAACAATCATAATTAAGGATTAAGAACCTCGAAACAAGTAAACAAAAAGGGACATACACGCCACCGACTCGCTTTTTTGACGGTGGTGTGTATTATGTCCCTTTTGTTTCCTTGTCTCAAGGTTTTAAATTCTTAATTACGAAAGCTGGAACACAAAACATTCGGTTCGACATCCGGCTCCCGATGCGCTCAGCAATAACACGAGTTGGGGTTTTCCCAACTGTGGGCACCGTTGTAAAAAAAAGATTAAAAAAAATCAGAAAACAATTTAAGCAGCAACGAACCGAGAGCTGCCATAAAACGTAATGAATGCTATAGGTACAGAAGTACACCATGTTTATCTAACACAACGCCCCAACAGCAAGGAAAAAAAAAAATAAAAAACGTAAATGGCCGTTTAGGTCCTTTTTTTATCAAGATATTTAGACAAGGGTATAGTTTTGTCGAGGAGATTCTTTTGACGATCACAATACATAAAAAAACGAACTCAGTGACTTGACTGGTTCGGGCCAATTTCGAGTAGGCAATATTTTATTTTGAACTAGAACAAACACGCTTGAAGCACAAGCCTACTCTTCATTCCTATTCATTTTGCCGCGAATACTACGCCAATATTCATGCGCTGGCTTGTCCAACAAGAATATAGTGCTCCTTTGCCTTCCCAGATCTGCGCAACCAATTCTTAACACCAACTGCTACATCGCAACATTAATTTAACTATGCATATCAATAACATAGATATTCATAATGGTGTAAAGGCAACATGTGGACAAAAATCTTTAAAAAATCCAGCTAAACTCGCTAATGCTATGAGCTTTACCCTTACACTGCTCATTTTAATTTAAAATTTATTTGCTGCCCTCTTTCCAGAAAAATACTGGGGGCCAGTTTAGATCTATTATATCTTAATTTATTTAAGATACTGCCAGCCGTGGGGGCCAAAGCAGGAGGGTAAATTGTTGAGTATAATAGCACCCTCAAGCTCTTACAACCACAAAGGCTGGCATACCACCACACATACCATAACAAAGAGTCTATAGAACAAGCGACATTCACACAATTTACAACGTTCGTTGGCAGGCAGTTCCAGTGATTTAAGAAAAAAAGAGTTCTTAAAATAGTCTCTGCTAAAGCGATAAGAGGTAATGTACTCGGTGTGTTTAGTTCTAGTTGCACAATCAGTGTTTTCGTAGGTTACATATTTCTGAATATTCATAACATTGACCATGTAGCAAGTTGAAGAATAAATTCCTCTGACTCAACATCATTTTAGTGTTAAAAAGTGGGAGGTCTACAGCGTATTTCAGTTGGGAGACAGACTCTGTAGATATGTAGAAATTAAAAATGGAGGCGGACCACTTTCGATGTTTTCGAGTTGATGAATGTCATTATTACTATTATTATTATTATTATTATTATTAGCGTCTGAACAATCTCGAAACTGGGCTCGCATATTAGAGCGTTGGCAATATTAGTGTTTTATACGAGTTAATTTTAGCTCTGGAGTAGCGAATGCTAATTTCCGTCCGAGTGTCCAAATTTTATTCAATTGTTTATTGCAAACATTCTCTACGTGTGAATAGTTTAGGTATGATTTTAAGACGACACCCAAATATTTAAATTTCTGGACACTTTTTGAAGCTGGTATTGCTTTCAGCATTACATTCATGTAAACAGTTTTGTTTTTGTTGATTTCCATTGGCCAATCGGTTACACCAGCTAATCAATTTATGTGTATACTCATTTTTTCTGATCATTGGATATTCGCATGAATATATGACTGTATCGTTGGCAAAACGTTTAGTTTTGACTTTAGTTTCAAATTTCCGGCTCATGTCACTGATGTACAAAATTAATAGTGGCCCTAGTACAGATCATTGAGGTACTTTTGATATTATTGATAGGTCGTCTGACGTTACGTTATTTAATTGGACGACCTGTTCTGTGCCAACAAGATAAGCTTCAAGCCATGTTAAAATATGATAATTGTTCAGTATGGAAATGAGTTTATGAAGCAGCTTTGGATGCGACACACAGTCAAAGGCCTTGGCAAAATCCAAGAACATGACCTATACCTGCCCACCACTGTCAATAAATAAACTGAGATCAAGAGTCATCTCTATCTATTGCGTAACAATCCAAGAAGACAACATATACTTGCCCACCACTGTCAACAAATAAACTGAGGTCTGGGGTCGGCTGTCAATTGCGCAACAGTAGAGCGCCCTCGTCTAAATACATATTAGTGCCTTCCTATGACATTGTTATTCTAAACATATGTTATGTGTTTGGCAAGGTCTTGAAAAATTTCACAACTGGTGCTTGTGAGCGAAATTGGACGGTAATTTTGAATATTTGTTACTTCTCCCGACGTTAATATGGGAATTATTCTTCCAGATTCTCAGTCTCCTGGGAGGTTTCCACAACACAGTAATCTTTTTCATATATGACTGCTAAGTAAAGAGAGCACCATTTTGAAATGGCTGTATAAATACCCACACAACCCCAATTATTTCGTGAGGTGAGCTTAGAACGGGCAGTTTTGGCGGCGGGTCTCAATGGTGTGAATCACATGGTACACAAGTGTAGTATAGGGTATATTTAAATGTATTTTTCTTTTTAACCTGGACGCGCGCTTAAAAGCATGCTCTAAAGGCTCCGGTAGTGCGCGCGCTGAGTATATCGTGCTTCAAAAGTGCAGCACGAACTTCTGGACGGAATGCCTTACTGTACGGTAGCCTGCGGCGACACTACGCTAAAACGGCCCATTAGTAACCATGGCGCAGGTTGATCACGTCTAGTAATGCACTTAAACCGCGACGCTGTGCGCTGAGCTCTGAGCCTCTGAGACGGAGACATCAACACCGTGAACGCTGCTCAACCGGAGCCTGGTGGTCACCATGCACGGACCAGGTTTTAGAACACTGGAGGCCAGGCTCAGCGAAAACACCACAATATTTTCCCTATCCACAAAAATACGTTGCCACACACAATGATGGGACCGGCGCTAAAGCACGATCGAATTCCATGCATAAAGCGTCACAAGTTCCGCGATGTTTTCCCAACTTCTAAAAACCAACAAGCTGGTTTTTCTAACGTACGTCAACTTCTCCGTCACCTGCGAGACTCTCCTGCCCCGACCGTTTCGCGTCTGTAGCCAAGTAAATTATTTTAGCACACTGACCAGCGTCAGCGAGCACGCGCATAGAAATTCTACCTCCGTCTCTTCCGCCATCTTGGAACTACTAAATAGAAAACAGCTCGCCAGCAACCCGAAATTTCTCGTGAGAATACCGCTAAAAGCTACAACAAAGCGCCTCCTCTACACGAAATAACCCCGGCGCACAGATACACAAAACTACCACCTTAAAACTGACACTTGTCAAAGAGCCAAGTGCACCGTAACGCCTCACGAGGACCCCCGAGAGTCGTCGGGGCCATCAGCATTCACCGTCCTTGCAGCCAGGAGACACAGAAAAGAAGCAGTCGATGAGTGAGGTAAGAGAACGAGACAGAGCTAGACAAAGTCAAACAGAATGATCCTCTCAATCCATCAATGCAGAAAGGCCCCTAGTCAACGCAAACAACAGCCCGGCAAACAACAGTCAATGCAAACAACAGCAAAAAAAACAAAAACGAGAGTATACATTGCAAAGCAGGAGACGTGTGGCGTCGCTGCCTGCTAGCGTGGCGCTCGCTGCGTTCCGACGCGGCAAGACGAGCTGGCGGCGACGCTGACGCCGGTTAAGACTTTGCGAACTGTGGAGGCTAGGACCCGCG